AGATTCATCTGCTGCTCCTCCATTCTCTTCAATTGTGTTTCTCAATCAAAAGAATAAACCATGATTGATCGGCGGTACAATTTGTAAACCTGTCACAACAATCTACAGTATATGTCTTAAAAGTAGTTACTTCAAATATGTTCCAAGAGCTGTTGGAACATCTAATAAAATGTTCATTTTAAACTTAGAAATGACATACAGGTAACTGTGATCCATGGTAAGAAACGACTTCAGTGTTTAGCATCACATTTTGAAGATTTATTATTCTTTGGTGGCAGATAGCATTTTATGAATTATAGCTTTAAGACAAAAATATTTAAAACCAGGAATTTGCATTACATCTGCAATGAATGTGAAAGATCTCAGTTGCAAAAGTTATAATGTTCCATGAAGGTCATCATATCTTAGAAAATCGTCAAACCACAGTTGTAGCTTAGAAAATGTTCCACACACCACTGGACTCTTCCTTCTGTGTACGGTTCATTTTGTTCACTCAGAGCACTTTATAGTTGATTTTAAGGTCTTGGCTTATAACGCTTTAAATTGCCTTGATCCTTCTTCTTCAGATGTTGTCTCCACACATTACAGCTTTCCCGAAGACACTTCACTTAAGCTTCCCAGACACAGCCCGAGCACTGATGGTGAAACAGTCATCGTTATTATGCCCCGAGACCAGGACGTGCTCTGCCACAAGATGGCATAGCTGCCAGGACCAATTATTTTTTTTCCAGTCTAGTTTGAAATATATCTGCTTGAACATTCCTTACCTAATTAGCTTGCTTTCCAGTTATTTGGTTGTAATTGCCTCCTTGGTAACTCTGTTATTTATGACGACATGCCTATTGCATAGACCAGTGATGAATTTATAGTTATTCCTCTGAAATGAATTAATTTTTATGTTTTTCTTCTAATTCCCACACCACGCTTATGGAAATCAATTCAATACATACAATTAACCCAGAGAGGACTGTTTTAGAGGGTGAAATACTGGAAAAAGGCTCCGTTACTAAATTGTAATCACCAAAAGCTCATCTGATGTAGCTTTCAGTGGATTTCCATATGTTGGTTTTAAGTGTTTCATTTCAAAGAACCCCAATATGGTTCTGAATGGTTATGACAAGTGTGGCACTATGTTTTGATTTTGCTGAGTTCATGCCTATTGAACTTTTGCTGCTGTTTCAGTTAGAAGCTGAGATTACCCAAGCCTTCTCTTTCTGGACATTCATTTTCCAAGACACACAGAGTCTCATAGGATTACATCATCTGATGCCTCTTGTCTTTGTCTAGCTTATCATGTGCCCACGTACAACACATTGTGCCCACATTCCTTCCTCACAATGTTACCTTAAATGTGCCATCTTGGCTTCAGTAAAATACCTATCTGCCTTGTCATGTGTTCTCTGTTCAAGAATTTCACCCACTCCTGCTGAATCTGGCAGCAGTGGACTTACAATATGAGATTGCTGTCTTGTCTGGAGCGGTGGTGTTGCACAGTGCATTCATCAAGCACACACACACACAAGTTTCCACGTTACCAGGCAAAGCACTAACTTCTATTATCATGAATATGTTTAAAAAGTGCAACAGTGTGCATTGTTTTGCAGTGAAGCAAATGACTGAAAGAAATAATTTTACGCTACTCTTAAAATGCTTAGTTTCCTCCTTTTGTATTCTGAGATTAAAAATGGAACCAATACTCGTATGTCATATCTTTAATGTCTCTCTGAATATTCCTGTTCTTCTTGGTAATACTAGGCAACACTTCTAAACTTGCCTGAGGTGCGAATGAAATAAAAAGCACAGAGTAGTTAAATTTGAACGGCTGAAAGCAAGCTTCAATATTTAGAACGCCGCAAAACCTAATCAAAAGCTCAGTACAAGCCTCTTTCCAAGTGGCGTCTCTTCGTTGTATTTTATTTGTGGTTCTCCACTTGCCCTGCCGCAGCTCTGCATTTCACAGTGCCCAGGAAATCTGAAGAAGACAAGGCAGCTTTCTCCAGGGGCTCTTATTGTTCCCACTAAGTGCCAGCTAGTGAATCACTAGTCTCAATCACTTGGCTGCTAAGTTAATGTTTCACAGGTCCCTTAATGACCACCAGATGGCCCTGATCTACTGGAACTGGTCCCATAATAGAACGGTTCAAAGTTCAAAGTCATTGAAGAATATTTGCTGATTGAACTGGATAGTGGCACAAAACACATTTTTTCCTGCATCGGTGCTTACAGCTTGAAAATGAACCCGTAATAGCCATAAATCACCTGCCAAAATATGAGAGCGTTATCATAAAGCAGGACCATCACCCATTTGACCCATTATTTCAGACTGTGTCAGTTTGTCTTGTCAAGTTTCGGTTTGTCTCTTTCTGTGACAGGCACACGTCTGTTGCCTGTCATGGTGACTAACAAGTCAGAAGGTAGCTCTGTATAACAAATAATGTTCTTCCTTTCCTCATAGTCAATTAGAGCTTCACTGCCTCTTACCCCATGATTATACCCAAGGCAGGTTAAGAAATATCATATAAACCAGCAGCACAAATTCATTCATTCAACACTCATAATAACACGCTCACTCAGACAGATCACATTAACCCTGCAGTATAACATACACATTTGAAATTAATTCTGTGCCCTTTTGCCATCCATGAGTGATCACTGCAGACAAAGAAACCATACTAATTTATGAAAATAGCCTTTTGAAGATTAATTAAGTTTTGTTCCACCCTTGGCCTTAAGCCTTTCATGGCTTTTGCAGCACAAAATAATAATAAGCACCCTCAAACCTTCACACAATGATCAAAATATTAAATTATAAAGTACTTTTAAAAGTATTAAAGAGACGCACTTTGTGTTTGGGAAGGCGCAGCAAGAAATATGAGCTTTTAAATGAGCAGTATTTTTTGTGTTTTCATGAAGAGACGCTTATAAAGATAACTTTACAAAATCATAACAGCATGTACAGTAACTAGCAATGGAGAATACCTCTGTTTTATGAACAAAACATTAGGATTTCAGCACAAAAACAAGTCATTGTTCTTTAAGCATTCAGAACCCTACCATTCTTTGCTGCTAGAGCGACTCTTGTTTTTAACTTTCATTCCAAGTTTGATTTTCTACTTTATAAAAGGAATGCATTCTGCATAAATATTTGTGAAGTTTAATCAATGTAATTAACTGAAGACTAAGCAAGTACAGCATTATGTAATGCACACATGGCAACACGTTCTGTCACCTTCCCAAATGGGACCAAGATTAATTAAACAATTGTGTTGCTTCATAGTACAAGAAGTATTTGGAAGCACAATAACAAGCATATTTGCAATCATTCTTCAAAATGGATGATTTAAATTACAAGAGGACATGAAGAATGACATGGAAAACTAATTATATATCTATCCTGCAATAGATGTCTATTACTGTAGCTGGCTGCCTAAACACACTGAGGAACAATACAGTCAAGAAAGCACCCTTTCAGTCAGATGAACACTATTTACTCTGCAAATGTTATATGCAATCTTATTCTAATGTGGCTTTGAAGGGAATAAATTAAATGAATGCATTGTGAAAGGCTGCCCACATTTGAAGAAGAGGGAAGGGCTTTTCTTGTAGTTTTTATGCAGATTTTTGCCATTGAAGCTGGAGAAAATGAGAATTCAAGGATGCAATCCCTGACCAAAACAGTAGTAAAACTGAAGTCAGTCATCACAAGGTCCATCCCACTATGTGGCTGAAAACAAAGAATTTTGTATCAACAAGCTACTACAACAACCATTGTTTGTAATCACTCTTACAGTATATGTGTTCTTACATTCTGCAGGGCACATCACAGACCAGAGGACAAGGGACAAAACCTGGAATTCTTATTACTTAATTATTAATTTGGCTGATGCTTTTATCCAGAGTGATTACACTGATTACAAGATACTGAAAAATCAATGCATTATATGTAAAATACATAAATCCTCAGAAAGTGATATGTCACGTAGTGAAATGGTAAGTGCACTAGTGTACATACTGTACTTCCAAGTGCACTATGAATAAAATATAACAGAATGAAATGCAAGCACATGATACACTGTACTTAAACAGCAAAGTAGGATAAAAGTAAATTCAGAGTGAAGTGCTACTCAAAAAGCAGCAGACTGTTGATTCAGGATTTTGGCATCTTTTTAAGGGATGGTCTGTGGGCTTCTGGGCATATCAGAAAAGCACTGCAATCTCAATCTGAAATGAAAGCTGAATTGCCTGAGAGAACATTTAAAAGAACTTTAAATGTAGTGCTGGTGTTCCAATGTCAGAAAACAAAACTGAGGGTGTTTGACCTCAAATTGAAAACATTCCTTTAAAAACGCTGCTGGCAAATGTTCCTTTAAACCTTTGTTACATTATACTCAATAATTGAAAGCAAAAAAGCTCATAAAAGATGAGAAAATTCACAACCATTATCGTCAAATCCAAAGGAAATGTCAACATTTACAAATGCTGAATGCTTACAGCAAAAGTTATAGAAAGGTTTGTTTGCATTTTGTTTTGTTTTTTTTTATAAATCAATTTTAGAGGAGTACCAATGAATATGCTGCCAAGCTTTTCAAGTAAAACAAAGATTTAAAATAAAGATTTTTAAAAATACTTAACAAAAATGGTTCTTGCACATCCTAACTTTCATTAGTAACTAGTTAATTGCATGGATTAATTCACTTTAACTCTTCCCTGAACAGCAGAATTAACTATTTTAGTATCAGACCTAAAGAATTACATTATAAATATGGTGCAAAATATGTACAGTAGTTGATGGTTACTGTAAACCCCATCTCTGTTGTAGGGTATCAATAGTTAAATAAATAGCTCAATTCAATATCTGCACCTCAAAAAATGAATATGTGACTAACACTAATTCTTTTACCTTTAAAATTTCAGGAATTAAATTTGCATGACCTGCCACATGTCTTTGATTATCAATTGCATAAGATTCTGGTATCAAATGCTGGGATAAATGATATTACCTTAGAATGTCCATTTATTTTCTAAGGCAGCAGAATGCAGAAGAAAAAGTATTCCTCTGGAAATGTAGCATTCAATAACTTTAAAGTGTCACATCCAGTACTGTATACTGGCAACAATTATGTTTTATGGGTTATTTTTAGTGTCACAGCCTTGTCAAGACCTCTAGAGTAAAGAGATGAAGGAATCTCATGTGACAAAGCACAGATCTTGCCAGGCCTGCCAAGATTTAATTCCAATCACCCATGGGCTCCATGTATGCTCAGCTCCACTCCATAGATAGATCTCCTGGTGTGGCAGCATTTTACACTTGCTCAGTGTATTGTACTGCTTAGGAGCTGTAGGTGTGTTACAATTTGTGTTACAAGGTTCAAATCCGAGATGCTGTACTCTTAAGCTTGGTGCTTCGTATGCAAATTGCTCTTGTCAAATACCTCTCTGTGGAGTCTGGTGCAAATGTAAGTCACCTTTGCTAGAAGCATCACCCAACAATAATAATAGTACAAAGTGGCTGAAAAGTGGAAAGGTGGATCAAAGCAAGTGTTGTCTCCATACGGAGATTACTACTAAAAAAGCACTACATGATTATGATTGATAAGATAAGATCAATTTATTGGCCATATATGGCACCTGATCCAATTTTCCTTGTTGTCCTTCCTAGTTAATATAGGAGCAAAAAAAAAAAAGCCACACCAGTTCAGGTTCGATTTAGCCTGGTACTACCAGATAAAAAAAAATACAAAGTAACATACTGTAGCACAAAATATGAACATGAAAATTCTTCACACAGAATAGACAGAAGAGACCTTTAGAATTTATAACTTGGGGGTGGAAGGGGTATCCCTAGAGGGCAATAAAGCAAAGCTTCTATTTGATCAAACTGCAGACTTAAAGAAGAGCTAAAACAAAGAAATAAGGCGCATCTCTATCCATATACAGATAAAAAATGCACAAATCCAATCAGTAACAGAGAATTAGTTTATATTTCTCAGATTATCTTCTAATAGCTAAACCTGAATTACCATAATCTTTCTGCAACCCTTGAACCCGCCCACGTTACACCTACAGCATGTGTTATCACGGCATAAAAGTATGTCAACAGATTTTAAAAGGGGTATTTGTTTGTTGGTTTATGAGGAGCAAAGAGAAGCAGAAGCAAAAAATAAAATTAATGAATCAAAACGTAAAGTGAAATTGCTTTTTCTGAACAGATTCTCAAATCCTTTCATGTAACTTTGAATTAATCTCATCAACTGCTAAAACAAACAAAATGCATCTTCTTGGGTGGTTTTTATCTGTACAGAAAAGTGAAGTGTTTCTAAAAAGACCCAAAAAAGGTGGAGTTCCCCTTCAAGCATTCTCAAGAAAGACTTGTTTTTCCTTTGGAACAAGAACTTTTCTTCATACTAATTGGTGTCAAGAGAAAAATATAAATGTTTAATATTTGGACGTACAGTATATCAGGCCATACAGTATGTTTCACATAATTATAAGTAAAATGTTTCTTAATTATAAGGGAAAACATGTCTTGAGAAGCATCATACTGTATGTTTTTTTAATATATTTTTCCCTAACATGTGATTCTAATTTCACCAAAAGAATAGATAAACTGTTAATCCATTTTTAATTAAAATTTACCACTGCTTTATTTTCTCCTTCATACAGTTAGATTAAGATTTTTGCATCTCATTATCAATTTCCCCAAGAGTTTCCACCTTTTTTTAATAAGCATCACTTTGGAACATAAATCTTAGAAAAAGCACGGAGCGAACAGCAGGAGAAAGCTGTATATTCTGAAAAGCTTTAATTGTATGACGCAATTTAAAAGTCCTTTGGGAAGCTTTATATTAAGGGCACCATGATACATTGGAGTGTCTGAGTCTAAGAAGATATCTCCAGCATTCACCTGGAATCACATTTACTCTTATCATAATGTGACCTTTCTTGCAGGCATACACATGACTTTTTGACAAGTACCCCTTAGACGGTTAGGATCATTTTTCTTTGAACAGAGAAGTCCCTGTTGATCAAAATGTGGTGTATCTAATCGTTCATAAGATCCTTCAATTAATATACCACATTTAAGGTTACACATGACATTAATATAGTCCTGCCACACACAAAAAATATGTGTTATGGAAATTATTTTAAAAAGTGTATCACAAAAACAGCACTTAAATGTCTGCAAAGATGTTTTTACATTCATGACCTTTGTGATTATTCATAGCACTCTGCTATTTCAAGTTTTTCCGTTGGACATGACTTTGAACAATCTTTCTCTCTACCGTTCAGTACTTAATCCAACATTGACCATAACCCCAAACAATCCTGCTGGTGGAAAGATTGTTGAGAAGGGAG